CCTTTTGCGTTGAGATTCAGGGCAAAGTAGACCGCTTTATGAAGCTGATGTGGAACTGGCTCAACTAGCAGGTGCAGCTGAAAAGAAAAAAAGAGTGACCGTGCAAGTATTGCTATGAAGTAGATTAAGGGAGTCATAAGTCTGCCAGCACTCACAGAGAGCCCCTTAATAAAGGTAAGTCACACTCTGACACCTGTGTTGGAACCAGAACCAGCTTCCCACAGTCTGGAGACAGCCTGCAGTGGTAAAGCAATACCACTTTGCATCACTGTTAAGCCCTTCCATCCACTGATCAGTGAGGAAGCTGATGAAGCAGCACCACTTTCAATCACTGATGAGTCCATCCATTCACTGAACAGTGAACAAGATGATGACGCTTCGACACTTTGTGGTTGAAGCAGCGCCTCCTGCCACTACTGTTCAGACCATGGATAATGGCATAATTGAGACTCATCTGGTGACACCAAAAAAGTCTGGGGGATTCTTTTCACATCTCGCCAAGACCATGGCCAAGCCCTTCACTGCCTGCTTCAGACATGGCTGCAGAGAATAATCTTTGGCGGTCTCCCCCTCTCTAACCCCAACCGGCCGAGGCAGATGGCTTCCCACCTAGAGCCAGGGTCTGCTCGAGGTTTCTGCCTCTTAAAAGAAACTTTTTCCTTGCCTCCGTCGCCAAGTGCTTGCTCATGGTGGGAACTCTTGGGTCTTCTACAAGTACAAATAACATTGAATTGAACTGAATGGAAATTGGGCCACACAGGTGCCTCAGTGTGTAACACTGTGGTCTTGCAGCAATAAGAAGAGGGTTAAATTCTTGATCTTGACCTCTTTGCTGTGAGGAGTACAGAATGCTCACTGTGTTGATGTGGGTTTACTCCGAGAGGTTTCAGTTTCCTCCCACATTTTAAATAATTATAATACAATCAATTAATAATATATAAATTATACACAACACATAGCCTTTCAGTAACTATTATACTGCAACCTGAACTTATCTACACACTTTATGGCTGAGTGACATATCCCTCACACACCAGGAAAGACTCACTTCCCACAACAAAATGGCACAGCTTACCCACAAGCCCACCTTTCTCATAGGAGAAGGCTCAGCTGGTAACACACAGGTGCAGTTAGGCTGTGGGTGGAGGAATAATCAGATCCTTTACTGAAATAAAAGTACTAATACCACAGTTTGAAAATACCCCACTACCAGTACAGTGGGAGTACAACAGAAGCCTTTCCTCCGCTGCTGGAAATAATCCTAGACGAAACTCTGAAACCAATTAAAAAGACCTGTCTTATTTTCTCTATTCTATATTTACTATTGCTCTATTTCTACTATTACTTTAACAAGCAAAAGTTGTTCTTAACCGATTGCTCGATTAATGGAATCAATAGAATACTCGATTACTTAATTAGTGGATAGCTTCAGCCCTAGTCTCAAGAGATGAGAGTCATGTCATTTAAATCAAATCACTGATGCACAAATTGTCTGATTGTCTAATAAAGTTTTGGAATTCAATTAAATTGCCTGCCAACTGCAATTAAGCAATAAAAGCAAAACCAGTTGGTAGTTTATCATTAGGTGTCATCACATTGCTGTACAAAATGTATCCTAATTTCATGATACATCTGTAACAAACAGTAAGTGCAACATTTAAGAATGATTGGTGCCAAGGTCCAGTGAGCTAAAATCAAATGAAAGCTACGTATGATAATGCAGTTTGCTAAACTTGGAATTGGAAATTAAAATGTGAGGCCCAAAACATAACAAACATATAATAAATAAAACAATAAAAACAATATTTAATATTTAAATATATTTGAATGTTTTTTAATTAATTTGCCTGTCTAGTCCTGACCATGTGTCCAAAATAATGCTGTCATAGCAGCAGTGAAGGTTCATAACACTTATATCTTATTTTATCTATAATAGGGTAGTGGTAGTAGTAAAATCTTTAGCAGAATTTCCAGTATTAATGGCAGTCAGGAGAAGGCTAGCTGTTACCAGAATATAATGTGTTGCTGCATGGAGATTGATAGATGTGGCAACATGGAAACAGTAGCGTTGCCATGGTTACCACTCATGTTATTTCTCTGTGCCAGCCTGAGTGCTAAAAACTAGATATCTTAACTCTATAAGTTTGAGAAATTAGATATCTGTAACCACAAGTTCTTTTACCGAGCTAATAAGGCTGCTCAGAATTTGACAACAAAACAAAATGATGTTGTTTGGAAATTGTAAAAGTACAAGTGAGGTAAGACGTTGTTGAGATTGACAGAGTAAAAGAAAATACATTTCTAGGTGTGATAATAAACCACAAAATCTGCTGGAAATTTCACATTAAATACGTGCGAGCAAAGCTAGCAAGGAGCATTGCAGTACTGGAAGAGCAAGGCACATTCTGAACCACAAAGTGCTGCACCTTCTTCACTGTTCACTGATATCGCCATATCTTAATTACTATGTGGACGTATGGGGCAACACTTACAAGACTGCCCTACAGCCATTATGTATATTGCAAAAAGGGGCTATAAGGTTAGTTAATAATGTCGTTTTTTTTAAGAACATGCTACAGTTTATAGATTTAGTTTAATGCAACACACCACAAATATTGTACAAAGCAAGAAATAATTCACTATGGCCATTATCAATCAAACTGCTGCTCAGCTAAGACCAAAGCTCACACTGCAAATCAATGACACGCTTCATTGACTTCCCTCAGACAAATGTGTCTGTGGTACACAGACACACACACACACACACACACACATTGAACCCTGGGGAGACTTGGTATTGTTTCCTGCTAATGTAGAATGTGGTGGCCTGCGTGCTCCAAATACTGGCTCATAACTGACCTCTTGGATGAGAAGTGATGTGCAGTGGCAGCAGGGAGTGTGTGTATGTGGGTGTGTGAGAGACGGAGGAAGATAGAGAAAGCAAAGAGTATATATATTGACAGAGATAGGTGCATTTTGGAACACCTAACCTGTTTGGACGGTTTTCTCCAACTCTTACTTCACCTCTCTCCCTGCTGTTTCTCCATCTGTCTCTGTGTGCTCACATGGCCTCTGAGCACAGCAGAGTGAGCAAATCAGAGTGGACTGCCACTACAAGGCACACTATGAGATATAGTGTACACACACACACACACACACACACACACACACACACACACACACACACACACACACAGACAGACACTGCAAGCCAGGTAAGATGCACTTTATGAGATCTACAGAAGAAGATAATGTAGAAGTGAAAGAAAGAAAGAAAGAAAGAAAGAAAGAAAGAAAGAAAAGGAGACAAGATGGTAGAAGGGAAGGTGTAGAGGAAAAAAGGTGAAAGCTGTGAAGAGGAATAGAGGAAGGATGTGTGTGAAGGAGGAGAAGGTGAGGGGGGGGCAGGGTGACTTGGCTGGGTGTGTGTTACATGGGACACAGTGTCGCTCTCCCTCGTCCTCCTGCAGCTCTACTGGAAACATTGACGCTAACACATGATGACTCTCGCTGGAGGGGACACGGGTGGGTGGAGAAAGGGATGGCAAGGAGGACGGAAGGAGGTGGGATGAGAAGGAACCCTCCAGAATCGGTCAGCCTCATCCTCCACCTCCTCTTCCTCCTCTCCTATACCAGATAAGCACAACAGGCGGAGCGGGGAAATGGAAAGGGGGAGGGCAACAAAGAGGAATAGATGATGGCATACATAACAATAAGCCTTTTTTTGTGTGTGTGTTGAGGCCCATTAGCTGAGCTCTAGTGGTTTTTGTTTATGTTTTTGATCCCTGCCCATAGACTTTTGACGAGCTCACTCTCTGGTTTATGGAATTATTGTGGAAACAGAGCAATTTTTAAAAAGATGCTGCGTTAATCTGTGGATATCAGTGCAAAGCTCTTTAGTATCAACCCATCTTAGACAGCGGGGGGCAGTCATTCAGTAAACAAATAATATAATAATATAATATAATATAAATATAATAATAAATAAATAAACAATATAAAAAATAATAATAAAATAATAACGCTACATGTAACTGTCCTACAAAAATAACTTTGGTTTCAAATTATAGATCACTTCATCTGTTTACACTGATTCTAGCAGCATCCTGTCCTCAGATACAAATGGCCCTGTGTTTGCAAGGAGTGATCAACATGCTGACCTTCACTTTTAATGAGTTGTATTTGCAGGCAGGAAATTTGAGCCAAATGCAGCACTGCACTCCTGAAATCTGAGCATGGAATAAATTCAGGCCTTCATTGCTGTGTCTAATATGTTTCCTACTGAATCTGAATGCCACCGTGATTATGGGCTTACCAGGATTTTAATTCGCCTGCCCGCCATAACCTCATTTTCTAATCCTCCAATATGCCCAAAAATGAAAAAGGGCAAATTATTCTTTGCCGTGTCAGTATGCCACACACACACAGAGATGAATTAGGGTGGCTTCTCTCCCATAATTCGCAGTGTAGCATAGTGCAGCAGTTCCTCCCCTCTGCCGTTTTGAACAGCATGACTCAGGGGTCCCATAGGCGCAGCTGCAGAATTCGTTGTCCGCTGAATAGATAAACGCCTCTCCTCAAGGCGCCCAAATGTAACACCGAGAGAGAGAGAGAGAGAGAGAGAGAGAGAGAGAGAGAGAGAGAGAGAAACAAATAGAAAGTGACATCGCTTCACTTTGATGCTCCCCTATGGAGAACCAAGATGAGACAACACTGCTTTAGGAAATATAAGAAAGAAAATGATTCCATGATCGTAAGAGGAGCCTGTGTGTGTATGTTTTGCCACAATTTACCCGTGCACTTGACCTTTCATGCCTTGGCAATCCTGTTCCTGGGAGCCACTGATAAAGAGGGTGTAGTAGCCTAGTGGAGATAATCACAAACACACCCCGCAGCCAAGCATAAAGTATAAGGTTCTCTGGCACCCACAGGGTTTCACATTTTATAATGTGCCATTACAATGCAAGAGGGGTCGTTTATAAGATGGAGAAGCAGGGACTGTTCATTCATTATGTCGTGCAATATGTCGGAGTCGTCCCCCAGCTCATTATTGTGTGGTCCACTTGCACCTGCGTTCCTGCGAGAGAGGGCTACACCTCACCAAATAAGGACATGAGAGAGACCCTTGTTGGGATGACGTTGAACGTGAAATAGCGGAGAACGGGAGTGTGTGGACGGTTTAGATGGAGACCTAAACCGGAGGGGGAAACACCGAGATAATCTGGTTACATAAGAAGCTATTGAATTTGCGGAACGTCTCTGCACTAATCCGCTGAACTATTCATGTTCAACTGTCCCACGGCGGAATAACGCACAGGACACACACACACATACAGGCACACTTGTGGCATTGAAGGCACAGAAGCGCTGCGTGCACAGGGAGTGTATGAAATAAGATAAACGCAGAGAGTGCTATCTTTTGAGGTACATTTGAAGCTGCTATGCCTGCGCGCGTCGCAAACCCGAACTGGCGGCTTGTGCTGTCCGCGCCCGTGACGATTCCGCTGACGCGCCACTAGCCGCACCACCCAGGATACAGAGAGGAGAGCTGTGAGCGACGGTACGAGCAGGGGACTGACTGGAAACCGGTGTCTCTTTCTCTTTCTTTTCCTCTTCCTAGACGACCGCGGACGGAAGCCTGCTCCTGTGCGAGCCCCGTGGACGATACATTTAACGAGCCGCAGCAATTCACCAGTAGCATCACCCCAGACCCTTCTGCAGAGATGGAGGTACCAGGCTTGGCGCACAACATCACCAGCCCATTAAGTCCCTGCGAGGGGATGATCAAGGACCTGAGCTTGGACGCCATACAGTTATGCGAACGAGATGGTAAGGAGGGAGGTTTGTCTGCTTTTCACTGGGGGTGTTGAGACGTTTACGCATAATACTGGTGCATTAGGCGCTATTGTGCATTTCAGAGCATTTCTGCGACGCGCACTGTCTGTTTTGTCATTGGGTTTAGCTGCATGCTCTACCCTTTTGTGTGTGTTTGAAGGGTTCGCTCCGCCGGTTCCTTGGTTGGATGGATGGAGGGATGGATACGCTTGTGCGTGTGTGGAATAGCTGAGTGTCTACAGTGGCAACAGGGTTTTCTTTATTCATAAGAGAGGGGTATTTTCTCTCTTTTTTACTTATATTTATGCAAAATTGAACATGCAGGCGAGGGAACAATGTTAATTCATGAGTTCCTTTATTTCAGCACCACAGACACGGACAGGGACCGGCACCAACCCCGCCTATAACCGCTGCCTGTGTTGTCTATTCCTCTGCTAGTTGCCCTAATCAATTTATTTGCATACAATTATCATGCATTTTTATAAATTCTTATAATTACAAATGACTAATTTTTAAATCTAATATCAACTCACGGAAAACTCTTCCCATGTTTTAAATGTATAATTCATCATCCAGCTGCATCTATGCTGGATAGTCTGTTTGACTCCTCCGTATTCAAAACTTCTCTGAATATCCACCATCAAACAAAGAGTTGATATACATTTGATAATAGATTAGACGGCATTTATGAGTTGGTTTTATTATGTTAAAATGGATAAACAGTTTTTTTTACACGAGCTGGGATCACCCTGATGGGCCCTGATGGTGGGGAAGAAAAAAGCAAGTCATCATCAGGAGAGAATAAGAGGCTCAAACATGGCTGCACCCACGTGTATGCACGGGCGGTGCAGCCCTACACACCCATCAGTGCAATTACACACAATTGATTCCACATCTGAGTCCAGATCACAGAGATCCCTTTTTAATCTAGATTGTAGGATAACTCAGTTCCAGGGCAATGGAATGAGATTATACCTCATTATAGCTGATTGTGTTAAATTTGGATTTCTTTTTTTCCTTAGCTATCCCATTTTCTTGATCTGGTTTTGGATTGGCTGGTTATTTGGCACCCATGGAGTCAATGGTGTGTCTTCATTGAGCTTTCAAAGAACCCCAGCATCTGATCATAGTGCAGTCGTTGTACCACACTGCCTGATTTTCTCATCTGCCAGAGCTGCTCATCATAATGTAATACAGCAGGATGTAGTTTATATCCTCTTAGTGCTTTGCTGGCCTGATTCTAAAGCTGTAATTTTAATAATGGTGTATAGGCTGGGGCTGGACTTCTCTAATGGACCTGGTGCCGGCTTTGTGCTTCCTGTGCTGCAGGTTTATTGGGGAGCTTTTTCCTTGCAAGCTTGGTCTTTGCAGCACGAGAGCCACTTTCCTGTTTATCAAGTAGATTACCCAGTGTAAATAGTGTCTCTGTGTCCTTGAGACACCCACATACTCTCTGTTTATGGAGCAACACAGCTACAATGTCTACCTTCTGTGCAGATTGAGCAGGACAATTGGTGGTTGTCATGTATGCAGAGTAGTTCCTAGAATTGTTAGTTTAGCTCATTCATCTACTGGTTTACATGAAACACTTATATTATCATCAAATGATTGATTATATAAGTGTTCCTGTTATTTTGACCACCCCCTGGATTTTCAGAGCAGTTTCTCACTTAAAATGACCTCCAGAAATACTGTCTAGTTTACACTTTACCTGCCACACCCTGTGTATCTAGCCTGCATAGTCCACTTTTAGCTATCTTGGAAATAGACTCATTTTCATTATCTGGTCAATACGCAACTTTTTCCTAGGACCGTATTCATTTCAGTTCCACGTATCTTTCTAAATTTATCCTCCAAATCCATTAATATTTAATTGCCAGCATGAGAGGCTTATGTTCCTATGCTGACCCAGCAAACGGAAATGCATGCAGCTTCAGTAGGCCTACTGTCTGTGGGAAAGAGCTCTCTCACATACATACATACATACAAACACACACTGAGGACTATTTGAGCATTTCAATGCACAAAAGAAAGAGTTGGATACAAGTTGTTCCTGTGTGCCTCCTGTGTTAGAGCGGGAGTTAAGGCCTTAATGGTTCAGTTTAGGGATGGGGTTGTGAATAAGTGGGGGGTGTAGGGAATATTTTGCTAAGGGTGATGAGTAATGGGAAAATTACAAAACTGTGTAAATAGGAGGTCTCTGCCACTGGTGTGCGGTGGTCTGGGGATAAAGAGAACCGCTTGTATGATGTTGTTCTGGATACAAATTCTCCACCAACCTCTGAAAGGCTAACTAGGACCACCATTTTGATTTTATTTCCACAGACAGTTAATGTGTACTTACAGGGGGTAAATAAATACACGCTACATGTCTTGTGAGGCCTTTGTGCCGTGGCTGCTGACATAATTAAGTTGCTGTGATGGATGGCTGCCATTTATGCAACCAAGTACTGTGTCTGCACTGCCTGAAATCTCTTGGCTTGAAACGCTGCTGCTTTAGCTGTGACACGCTTAGTCTGGCGTGTGTGTGTGTGTGTGTGTGTGTGTGTGTGTGTGTGTGTGTGTGTGTGTGTCTGTGTGTGTGTGTGTCTGTGTGTGTGTTTAGACAGACAGACAGATAGATAGATAGATAGATGGATAGACGGATAGATAGATAGATAGATAGATAGATAGATAGATAGATAGATAGATAGATAGATAGATAGATAGATAGATAGATAGATAGATAGGAAATTGTCTGATAAAGGTGTCTTAACATTACCAGCAACTGTTTCAAGAAAGAAGCAAGAAAAGCTCCCTGTGTGGTGAGCTTGCCCATTACTAGTCGGCAATTGCATTGTTTCCACAAATGCAGTGCTGCAACACCTGAATATAAGGCTTACTTTCAATCCCTAAAACCACAGTGGAGCTTGAGAAACACTATGAGAAGAATTTTTGCAAGATAAAATAGCCAGTGGACGAAATAATTGTGCAGGAGCTATTTTTTTAAATCTCACTCTCCCAAATATACTGGATGTCCATATTAGCATTGTGGCTCTATGGATGGCGAAGTTTGTCTGTGTCTCAGTCCTCCACTTTGCTCCAGACTGAATTATCTCAACAAGTACTGGATGGATTTCCATGACATTTGGTACAGATATTATTGACCCCGAGAGGATGAAGTCTACTGATTTTGGTGATCCTGTGACTTTTCTTCTACTGCCACCATGAGATGGACATTTGTGGAGGGTTTTTCTGAAATGCCTCGACTACAGTTGGATATAGATTGCCATGATTGTTACAGACTTCCATGTTCCCCCAAGGGTGAATTGAGACAGCTCTGGGGATCCCTTCACTTTTCATCTTATGATCTTTTCTTTTTGCAACACTTTGGTTTATGACATCCCCATTGGTCTCAGCAGTGTTGTGTTTACTGCTAATTAGCAAATGTCAGTATGTTAACACGCAAAACATAGGAGGTGAGCATGGTAAACACCACCTGCTATTACATCATCATGTTAACACTGGTGTTAGCATTTAAATCAAAACATGGCTGTGTCCAAGTACAGTCTCACAGAGCTTCTAGCATAGCTGTAGACTGTAGTCTTGTATAGAATGGTAAATGATAACAAGTGGACTTGAGTAGCACTTATCCAATCTGTTTGCTAATGTACCATACATTAGCACACCGGCCTTATGACATACAGCATCATCTGAGTAAGCTGGCATTTTAGTTTGGCCGATGTTCAATGTGAGCAGTTGTGTGCCATGACTGTGCTGGCAACAGCAGGTACATATTATGCAGCCACTTATCAGCTGCATAATAAATTCACTTGCAATTGACTTTACTGTAATACATAGTTCAGAAGATTCTTTGATATTGATTGCAGTGCAGTGAAAATCCTCTTCATGCTAATTTTCCTTTTGTATGTCTGTTCACAGCCTGACTGCGGGCATATAAAATCCTTCTATATAGAATTCCATTGTACCACCAAAAGACACAGTGCAAGGAGTTTACAGCAGCCTGTTGTTTTGGTATTCAAATGCTATGCAAATGAGAAATGGTGACTCATGGTTTTGGACAAGTTTAGAAAAGCAGATCTGTCCTCCCTAAAGGTCTTTGCTGTTTAATTAATTTGTAAGAATAGGGATGGATTGATTCTAAACTTGAAAGACTCCTCTTCGCTACTAAAGGTTGTGTTTTTACCAGGTCTTTGTTTGCTGTTGTAGGGCTTATTGATGTGTAAAAGGTGGAACACAGACTGTGTAACCCTGATGAACAGGCCATTGTTTATGCTCCCTGCCTCAGTCTGTGCATCGAGAGGAACAAAAGCCCTGGTTTTCAAAGGCCTGCGAGCATCAATGCCCAGTGAATGTCTGTTGCACAGCTCATGTCTACAGTTCAATTTTTAGACCAAATACTGCAACTTAAACAGTAGGAGGCTCGTCTGTCTGAACCGAGTGCCCACTTGCGCAGTCAGAGACAATCAGTGCTACTATCATCTGCCAAATCTTTTTTGCACTATAACTCACCTGCCAACAGTACTTGGAAAATTGATTTTTCAACAACAACCTTGAGTGAAAGTTGACTTGTTTTGAAATTGAGAAACTGTGGACCTTCATATGAAGCACCATATGGTGGACACTGGTAACCAGCCACCACTGAGAGAGTACATTATGTAGATGGCCTTAATGGAAATCAAATAACTTTCCTTTCACCGGTAAGGTGCACTAACAAGTAATTCACAGTATCAAGCCAGGTGTGACTGGAACGAATCCTACCACAGAGAGCCATTAGGATGGCCCTACGTATGCATGTTAACAAGGTTTTTATTGATCCTTCTAGCATCTATTGCTATTCCACTCTGTGGCATTTGCCTGCACGCTGAGTAAAAGGGCAATACACAATAAGGTCCATTTAATAGGGTTTATTAGATTGAATGGAGTAGGCTTTCCATCTTGTGCTGTAGTGCAGATATTTCTGTGCCCTGCATTTTGGTGCCCTGCTGAAGTACTGCGTATACAGTGGTCCGATGTCATTTCGAACCCATTGGATATGTGTGCACAGTACGAGTAATCTGTGCTCATTAGCAAAGGTTCAAAAACTGAAACTCATTTTTGCTTATCATGATGAGGCAAAAATCCCCATCCTCTCCCTCCTGCACAGCATTTTAATACATTGCAATAAATAGTTAGACAATTAATTATGACTCAACAAAATGAATAGTAGCTACAGCAGCAACCCTGGTGTAAGTAAATAGTAGCGAGAGCCAAGGTGTAATACTAGCATATACATTTAAGTCAGAACTGAGGGTTTAGGCCTCCCATGTGAGATTGTAAAAGTGTTTTACTTTCTCCCTTACCACCTGACCTTCATCCTGTTAGGCTTTTGCTCCTCCATCTTTCATCCTGTGCTCTCAGAGTCCCAAAGGATTCAGAGCACAGCTTAGCACTGGCTCTCACAAAGCCGGTATATTTACCTGCAGGCAAGGCTACCTGGAACACATTATATTCATATTTGTATATTCAGGTTCATATTTAGATCCAGCAAGTTGTAGTTGATTCTATTTATATATTTTGATCATTAATATGTTGGAATACTGATAGCTTAATTAATTTTTTAAATCTATATATCTATATACGAAGTCTTCAAACATACAGAACAGTGACTAGTTGTGGTGGCAGATTTCTGTCTGTCTCATGAGCTTTTCTTTAGATTTTTGCCCAGTAAACTGCAGCCTTCAGAGCTTGTTTTCCCTGACAACATCACTTTTAGCTTGACCGCGTAGCTTTAAAAGTGTTACGTAGGCGATATCTGACTGCACTTGAAAAGCTTCACTTTGTCGGTAATGCCTCCATTTGCAGGTTAATTAGGAGAGCATTAGAGTAAACAGGAGCTAAATCAGCATTGTGGAGTCACAAGGAGCTGGGAGGACAAAGACTTGCATGGGGTCTCCTTTCAGGGTTATTAAGGGAAACATCAGTGTTGACATTTACATTTTAAGGATCGGAGGACAAAGAACTCACTCTGCTTAAGGGACAACACAGCAGGTTTTTCATCTTTGGTGGTTTTCTTCAGTCTTTAAAGTCATATACAGCTGGTATCCTGAGGTAAGTAGAATTTGGTATAGAATGAGATGATCATTTATGATCTATTATTATTATTGTTGTTGTTATTATTATTATGAATCTGCAAAAAATAGTTGTCTGATTCCCCAGCATAAAAAGACACACACTAGTAGTGGAAATAATTCCTGTGAAAGAGTCTCCACATCTATTCTTTATGGCCTGCATTACATTCTGATCAACCGACCTTGTCTTTTTCTTGTTTTTGTGAACGGTCAGCAACCTGAAGTTTCACATTACAGTGCTGACTGTCTGGTCCATGCTGATTTGATGGAGCATTTTCTGACAGGTTTGCTCCGTCATGTCCAGTGTTGAACCCCTCAGTCTGAGCCAAATTTATCAGCTCAGTGGGGTTTAAGTATAATGAGATGTGCTTTAAATCTGGACCGGCAGGACGAGATGTTTTAACAAATTAAAGTGACGAGGTGTAGGAGCGCTTGCATTCGGTCTGAGAACAAAGCATAGTGCAGCAGAGGATGTAACGGGCCTGTTTACATTTTCACATACTCAGGAATCCCCTATACCCAGTGACCCTAAAAACTAGCTTAAACCACTTGCAATAAGCCCAAGTAAAAATAACTTGTTTGTGTTGTGAAGATTTATAATAAACTGTTCCCAAAGATTAGACTGTTCTTCACTGAAATGTTTATCTTTTCACACTAAATTCACAAGATATAGATTTAGTTTCATTCATCATGAGCAACTGTGGTCCAAGCAACAGGGGGTCTTTCTATTTAGGTTAAAGATGATTATTTTTGGTAATCAGCTACAGGAGTTGTGATTAGAAACTAGTGATTAGGACAAAAGTAAGTGGGGGGTCTGGTCTTGTCTGGTAGTAAATCACATACATTGGTCTCTTTCGGATGCTAGTTTAAGACATCATGAGTCATGATTTGAAAAGAGGGTTTAGATACACATTGGGTGTAGGAATTACATTCTAATTTGGTTATTTCCTAAAATGAATCAATCTTCAAATGCTCCTCTGTTAGAGTGCTGTGTGGAGGCGAGACAGGAGAGTCCACACATCCCAATTATGGGATTTGTCTTTTATGCCGCCCTCTCTCAGCTGATGAGTGGAGATAGATGTTCCATGCTCCGCTGCTTCTGCCATTGTTCACTCACTATAGAGTCCAGTCGTGTTGTGCATTACTCCCAAATTCTGCATTCTGGTATTTTACTCACTCTCGTGTTCAGACCCCAGAGCGTGCACAGAAAACACATTGTTGCCATGCCAAGTGGGCGTCTCTGAGTGTGATGCAAAGTCTATATTCATCCTAATTCTACAAAGCTCTCATTCAACCGTGTTCTGAGATTTTCACTGGCCTCAGTGTGCACTTTTGGTCGTACGCCTTTGCTACATGTTGGGTTACTTACAGGGACCTGACTAATGCATGAGATCTATGCAGCTCAGAGAAATGCCAGATTTATCAACTTGGAAAACGGTGTTGCAGTGGTTTCTCTGTTTAGGCCAAATACACTAGGAATGACAACTTAAGTTAACCAAGTTAACCCAACCTAAACACATGACTTAACTTGTGTGACACTGAACTGTATTTTAAATGTTATTGTTACTGCGTCATGTGTATTGCCTGCAGTGTGGTAGCAGAGTTTTCTTTTTTCTTACTGCAGATTATAAATGGGTCCATCTCGGCTGAGAAGAGAGGAGATTCAATCAGCAACGTTTAAAATATTTAATACCGCGTACAGTATGTTCTGGAAAGCAGATAGGTGTGTGTGTGTGTGTGTGTGTGTGTGTGTGTGTGTGTGTGTGTGTGTGTGTCTACTGAGGGGCTGATGTGTTTCCATGGCAACATATATGGTAGTCGGCGACACACGCAGTTCTTTGTACGTGTGTGATATGGTGGATATACTACGGTTAGTGCTGCCTGTGGAATAATGACTGTGAAACTGCAGTAGTGTGGAGGGTTTATAGTCAGTAAGAAAGAGAAGAGAAAAAAGACAATTCTGAGGGCTGAATCAAATCTGAAAACACCTATAAATGTGTATTAATACACCGACTTAATATGGTCTCAAGTCTCTCAGATAATAAAAATGTGATTTAAAAAACAATGTGTGTTTCCTAAGGATTCCCGCAGAAGAAACATATAATTTAATTCTGGTATATTTTGTTGGTCTATTTTACATTGATTATATCAACATTGTTTTTCAACTACACAGGAAGTAAATCCCAGGACGGCAGCATCTCCGAGATGGAGGAGCTTCCTGTTCCTCAGAACATCAAGATCAGCAACATCACCTGCGACTCCTTCAAGATCTGCTGGGACATGGAGCCACGCAGCAAGGAGCGCATCACACACTACTTCATTGACCTGAACAAGAAGGAGAACAAAAACTCAAACAAGTTCAAACACAAGGTAACACTTGACTCATTAAAGGTAACACTATGAGATATGACTCACCAAAAGGCCTCTCATTATAGTCTCACTGAATAGAATTTCCTGAATTTCATGAATAAGGAAGAGATGTGTCGAGAATAAGAGGTTTTGTGTTCATGGGATTCAGTGTGTGAGGAAAAAAATCACAATGATCCTTGATAGCACAAACTAGGCAATGTGCCAGCATAAATCAGGATAAATTACCTAATTTCTTTATTTAAGTGTTAAATGTCTCCTTGTCAAAATCTCTTTTTCAGCAGATAGCAAGAGTTTCCCAAACTATTAAAATAATATAAACAAAAAGTGTGGGGATAATAGTGGTATAAAGATAGTTATTGTGATGCTATAAACATCTGAATTAAAACGACTGATTTGAAGCTAAGCACGTTTCCCAGAACACCATGTTTCACCTCAAGATAACCTTTCTTTTCATGCTTTAGGCAAAAAGACTAATTTTAAGGTTATTCAAAGACTCCACAGTAAGCTGTCGCTCTGAGCTCTAATAGACAAATGTCAGTCACACGGTGGGTAAATGCACAACCTGCGGAAACAGGAAGATTGCAGCGTCTTTAGTGGACAGTCAGTGATCTGGTTTAGTTATCTTACAGACTTGTTTCATCAGCCTTCTTCCTTTCGTCCTGCAGTAACTTCCTGGGTGCCGTGTCTTTCTCCTCTCTCTCCTGTGTTATAGCAGGCGACCTTAGTATTTTGATTTTGGTGTGCAGCAACAGTGTTGGTGGATTAATGGGCTGACTCTGTTGCTAGGCAGGGGCTCCTGGTCCAATCAATGAGCTGCTCTGGCCCACTGAGACTTGGGGAGGGGGTGAATAGTGTACAGAATAGTGTACGTACATAAACAAAAGGACATCTACAGGTATAAACTGCACTCTACCACTTATATGAAATGTGTGTGTTTACAAGCGGGCGTCTGGAAATCCCTGCGTGTGGTTGAAAGAAAGCCGTAACTGGAGTCTCTTTGTGACAAATGCCTCCCTGCCACCATTTACATCCTTTTTTCCATCCCTCTTGCACTCCCTCCTTTCCTCCAGGATGTTCCTACCAAGCTGGTGGCCAAGGCAGTGCCCCTGCCCATGACGGTTCGGGGCCACTGGTTCCTGAGCCCACGCACAGAGTACACAGTGGCCGTCCAGACCGCATCAAAACAGACCGACGGGGACTACGCCATCTCCGAGTGGAGCGAGATCATCGAGTTCTGCACTGCTGGTGAGTAATGTGCAGCTTACAGTGCCATGACTACATACATTTTCAGGATGTGTGACATCAGTGCTGCCTTTGATCTTTGCTTGTACTTGACCAACCAAGATAAATAATGACGTAAAGGACTGAGCACAATATGGGGGAGAATATTGAAGGGAGGCTAATTTATACTAAGTGGAGGGAAAGATGGATGAAGAGATGGAGGAGGGGGTGGAGGGGAAAAAGCAGGATTAAAGGAAGGAGGGGAGCTGTGCTGTATATATCCTGATGCAGAGGTCAACAAGTTCAACATCGCTGGCTAGAGGCTTAGAGTGGGGGAGGGAAAAGGGGGGAGGAGATGATGGCATGGAAACTGGAGGATAGTTGTAGGAGGGATGAGGAGCAGCAGGGAAAGAGTCTGTGGGACGAAGACATACTACAAGAAACTGGTGAAGGAGAATGCTTAAATCCCATGGTTGGATACGCTATCAGCTCTGTGAGGCTGTACAGACTAAATGCTCATGTCAGCATAATAACTAACTAACTAACTAACTTACATGCTAATGGTAAACAGGTATTTTTTTAACCATGTTTATTATCTTAGTTTAGTGTGTTAGCATGCTAACATTTGCTTATTAGCACTATTAGCACACTATTAGCACACTAGTCATTAGTTTTTCATTTAGTCAACATATTGGGCAAACAGAAATTTTGACCTGGTGTTGGCACTAAATGAAAAGCTAAAGGGTCTATATTTACTGGGGAACATGAATGTATGTTCCAAATGTGATGGCAGTCGTTCTAATAGCATCTGAACCTAATGGTATCCTGCCATCCTGCTAGATTACCCAAACAATCTAAAATGAGAGAAGGTGGGGCAGTTGTGAAATGGATGAGGAGCACTTAAGTTGACAGGCAGGGGAAGAGTGTGTTATGAAGGTGTAGTAAGAGAAATTAATGAAGGAGGAAGCTTAATGATGTCATTGATTCTCTACAAAAGATGCCGCTGCCAAGATCTTACACTCCTGTAAAATCCTGTCTGTTTTTAATTGCCATTTATTCCATTATGTCTCAGTGATAACAGTAAAAGCCTTGTCTAAAAAACATAGTTAAGTTAAGGTTGAGAACACAGACACTGTTCATATTCTGTCCTTTTCCATCTTAGCCGGTGCACGCAGTCACTCCTGTTCTTTATAATTAAAAAATTGAATTTCTACAAATGACTTTTGTACATTGGTTTCCGATCCTCCTGATGGCAGCATATTAATTTACATGATGATACAGTGTGTGTTGTGTCTGTTTTCCAGACTATTCCACAGTGCATCTAAACCAGCTGTTGGAAAAGGCAGAGGTCATTGCTGGCCGGATGCTGCGTTTCTCTGTTTTCTACAGGAACCAGAACAAAGAGTACTTTGACCACGCAAGGTAGGCAGTTTTGGGCTATATTTAAATATGCGTCTGTGTTGCATTACTCCACTCTTTCCTATTGTCATTGCCTGTTGCTGTTCTTTTAAAAATACAGAGTCTAGACTATTTCATTTCTGAACTTTTTCTAAAATAACTGGGCTGAGATAATGCATGTCTGCCCCAGTGGCTAACTTTCCCGAACACAAATTAACAACAAACTCACTGTCACCCCTTTCTGGATTATGGTATGTGAGTTTATCACTATCTACTACTAAGTTTATATTTTACCAATAACAATTTTTTTCTTGAACATGTATCTGGTGCCCTCACTGACCTTACAACCTTGTGATGTTATTTGATCCTTGTGACTGCACTGCATATAGTGTTAATATGGTAATATATATGGTAATATGGTATGGTATGGTATATCATTCTGTGGTGCTGATAGTATATTATTATTAATGAAAAAATAGTTATAAAAATACATTTAAATAAAAATCCATCTGTACATCTGTACTACGTTATTGTGCATCACTGCAGTGCTGTCTGCAAAAAGCATGATGACCACATCATTTTGTATTCTCCTCTTGTACACAAAAGAAAAATGGAGGATCAGCTGAAGGGTGCAGCTGCACAAAGCATGTTGATTAGTTCCATATATACAGTACATCAAACTACTGTAGCAGCCAGCTCTGCCTAATAGTAATCTGGACAGTCATAGATTGGTTCTTGCAGTAACATCGTCTGAACAAAGCTTGGTGTAACTCTGCCAGACAACAGCAGACAGTTGTTAGGGGATGTGGAGGAAAGAAAAAAAAAAACCTGCTTGTGGTAGCAAACGCTGTGCAAGTCTGTTTTGATGTTAGAGGAGAGTGAGACAGGCAGGGGAGAGAAAATGTCTCTGGAGTAGCCTGCTAGTTTACTGAAGCATTGTGCAGTTACAGTGTAAACGGATTTTCTATGTTGTTTTTTTCCAACTTCCCGTTCTTCCTCTTGTAACAGTGTTGTCTTTTCTCCTCATATCTTCTATCTATACTCTCCCTCGGCGCAAATGTTCTATGCCTAACAAAGCACACAGTTTCTGTACTAAAACCACAGCTTGTGAGCACTCTTTTGGTGGAGCTTTGCAGCATGACGTCATCCAGATAAATCTCAACCTCGCTTTTGCTGAGTTGCATCTGCTACTGAAAGTGCTTCTGTTAAACTGCACCATCATGTGGGGAGTAATGGAACTGACATTACCACTTGATGAGGCCTCTGCTCCTATGACCTGGGGTGGGAGCTGAATAATTCCATAATGCCGCAACAAAGCATCAATTACGGATATAATGACAACCTCTGGAGTGATAGCAGTATAATTACAATTCATAACTGTAGCTTTGGAGCTCAGATTTACTCTGTGGGGAAGATATGCATATTCTGCAGAATCCCTCACTTCAAATGTTTCTCTGTTAATTTGCTTTCTGAAAGCTGCATTTGTTTCCTAATTTGTCACAATGATAAATAGTTTTATTTTTCTCTCACTAGGTTTCTGTAGGACTAAGTGGACTGAGAGATGTGTTATGAGACTCTGGTTGCATCTTAGATATTTAATCAGCTTTCTCCCATGTGTCACGCCATTTCAAACGATGATATTTTAATTAAACTTAATAAAGGGATGCCACCCACCTACTGGCATTTCAAAAATCAAAATCAAAACTTCGATTGTCTGAGGGGGAGCACAAAAACTTGTTTGAAAAATTGTAACTGATGAGTGAAACTGACATATTTGTTGTTTGTTCACAGCCAATTTCATTCTCTTTTTTCCAAACTCCAGGGAGGCGCAGGAGAACCGGATGCTGCCATCAGTGAAAGATAACAGCGGCAGCCACGGCTCACCCATCAGTGGCAAGCTGGAGGGCCTTTTCTTTAGCTGCAACACAGAGTTCAACACAGGCAAGCCTCCACAGGACTCCCCTTACGGCCGCCAACGCTTTGAGGTTCAGGCTGACATACTCTTCAACCCCGACACCAACCTGTATTTTGGAGACTTCTACTGCATGTATACAGCCTACCACTATGTTATCCTGGTCCTAGCACCGAAGGGCTCCAGGGGTGACGACTTCTGTAAGCAGAGGCTTCCTGCGCTTGACCTCACCAACAACCGTTTCCTCACCTGCAAGAAGGAAGAAGAGGGTGACGGCAGTCTGGTGTTTCACCACGCCCAGGATGTCATCCTGGAAGTGATCTACACGGAGCCTGTGGACCTGGCGTTGGGCACAGTGGCCGAAATCAGCGGGCACCAGCTGATGAGTTTGTCCACGGTAAATGCCAAGAAGGACCCCAGCTGCAAGACCTGCAACATCAGTGTGGGACGCTAAGAAAAGGCAGAATGTAGGAGAGGGAGGAAAGGACTAGAGGTGACTGACCTCTGCACACACACAGGAAGTCCACATGTACTGACGAAGCAGACCAACACATGCATGAAGCAGCAGATTTAGTAGGCTCCCAGACATGCACACCAACATATCTCTGACACCGTTCTGTACTCTCAAGAGACCATCATTCCCAAAGAAGAGTGGAGAAAAAAAGAGGAAGGTACACACTCTGACACCTGCACCGTTGTCTCCTCATCTGAAAAGGGTTACCCTAAATGTTGAAACCTTACATGAAACTGAGCAATCTAAACCTGGGACACCAACAACACACCCTTTAACTGTACTAACAAACATGAGCTGCTTCTACAATTTCCTGTTGTTTATTTTAATAAGTTGTCCCATATTTTGTTAATGACCTTTGCCTTGTTATTATTAATATGCTGTTAACTGAGTGTCCACTGTCTGTGTGGACAAGCATTTTGTTGTTTCCAATTACTTTGACTGTTTGACGTTTTAGAAATGTTTTGTTCTCATTCCACAGTAGACAAATTCAGACTTCTTTTTACCTCCACTAGTGGCACAGACTGGTACTACAATTTTCTAGGGCTGCAGCATCAAGAGTCATCTTTCTTTATACCAAAGGTATTAAAAACCAGACATGAAACCGCTGTGGAATCTTAACAGTACTAATGCAACAGCCTCTAAAATGTCTATTCAGTAAGTCTTTGACGACCAAGTGTGAACTACTTGTTAACTTGTTAACCTTTAAAAAAAAGCATGATGCAGTTCTGTGCAGCATGAGTATGAAAGCTGTCAGTACCTCTACCATAGCAACCTTTTCTGCAACAGTCGCTCTTATTTTGTTGTAGTCAGTGGAAAGAAAGAAAGTAGAACCATAAACTGTGTTTAGCAGAATAAATGTGAAAAAATATTTATTTTTATTGATACATTCATATATATATATCTATATATATATAGAAAATTATATAAACCAGAAGTGCACAATGTCAAAAGCTCTGATCATTGTCAACAACTGCATTTACAGGAAATTGACTTCATACAGGTAAAATGGGGGGGATGAATGCAAATTTGACAGCAGATATAACTTGCACTACAATTTCAACGTTCACCAACGTTCACATATTTTCCATGGTGAGAATGTGAATTGAACGACTTAGATCAACTATGAAATCCTTAATGCATATCATAGCACAATGTAGGACTAAAAAACTGACATGCACAAACACTACAGGATTGTCTCATTGCAATTAAGCTTACATTTCTTTTGCCAAGATAGCACTTTGTAATAAAAATGCAGTTTCCACATTAACTACGGACAAAGCTGTCCAAAATGGTATTTTGGCACAGAAAAAAAGCAAGTAACAAAGTGCCATAATATACATACAGTGATCTTAAAATTACTAATATGTAACTAACATCAAGTTGTTACACCTCTTCATCCTTGACATAAATTAGTGCTACATACACTTGCTACATCAGGTTTATAGTAAGATGTGTCATGAATGATAAGGGATGTGTTTTTGGGACTAAGAAAACTCTGCAGTTGCCCAGTATTTAATTCAGATTGTCACCAATTTCCATCAGTTTTCTTCATGTAAAGTGCATCAACATGAGCATGGCATGAAACAAGACCAGACCCACTGGCTTCACAACCTGATTTTTCTTCTTGTTAAGATAAAGGTCCCACTGTGAGTTAACTCAGCTGGTCTTGGTTGAGTCCTGTTGTTTACTGAGCAGGGCCTCCAGTAGACGGAGCTTTGCTTTGAGGTTCTTATACTGGCAGTACTCCTCAGCCATCGGTCCACGGTCCTCCTTCTGACAAGCCCTGTTAAGAATACATGGAGGAGAAAAAAAAGATGCAAACAAAAGGCAAAACTTCAGTAGTTTCAACTAGCAGCAGCTTCCATAACTGGTTGATAGTCCCTATGTTGCCTTACTCAGATAGCTTTGTACAGTGTGTATTGTAATCGAAAACTTACTGTATTTACTTTGGAGGACTAACATGTACAGTACAAAGGATGTGTACAGTTCAGAGCAAATGTCTTTCTCTTCGTCTCTTTCCTGAGCTCTCTGTGCTGTATTAACGTTAAATGAGTGTGCATTACACTGTCGTACCATTACGATGGGAATTTCTTTTGTGGATGTTTTTTCTTTATTTTTCACAAGGCATTGTTGAAAACCAAATGTTCCAAGTTTATTAAAAGACAAAATAAAACTCAAAAGCCAAGTAGTTTGAATGTGCGGTGTGTGTCATTTGTGTGTGTAACCCTTACCTGCCGGTCTGCGCATAGAAATGGTCCTCAAACTCTCGGAGTGCTTGGTGAAGCCTGCGCTTCTCTAATCGTGCCATCCTAAGGTGATCCAGTAATTCCGATCTGTGAAGAAAGAATCAAAGAATTTCTTAGATCTAGAAAATAACCGTAACCATGTCAACAAATAGTTTAAAACAAAAGTAGTCTATTATTATCTATTAAAAAAATCCAAACAACTAATTCTGAATGGTAAAATAGATTGAAATCACACCTTAGAGCTGCACAAACACAAGCCGTACCTGGAAGCTTCATGTAGTGTTGCCATGGTGATGATCTGTGGCTGGAGACCCTTTACCTCCTCCAGCGGGGACACCAGAGGAGTCTCAGACATTTCTAGGGAAGGCAGATGCAGATGCAGCGGCTCATCTGAAGACACATACCTGGGAGACCTCAGCCAGAGCGGCTGCTGCCTGGGGCTTCGCTGTTTGGGACGCTCTTCATCAGAGCCCTCCTCTTCCTCCTATGTAGACACACACACAAATACAGAGGAATCACTAATCTGTCATAGCAAACATTTGAGAAAAAAGAAGAGAATAGTTTGGTGTAGCTCTTATATCTGGCCACAAGAGGGTAGTAAAGTCACACTCTTCTTCACCATTATCAGTTTTATCTATATTGTTGAATCAGAATCAGAATCAGAAATACTTTAAGAATACCAGGCGGAAATTATTTTCCCCTGGGATTATTGTTATTATTGTTGTTGAGTGTAGAGACCTCATCCATCTCTACAAGATATTATTCAAAATTCAGTATTCAGCATTAGATGTTTACTCACAATGGTTGTAATGACTGCTGCAGCAGCAGAGGAGAGCAGAAGCTGCTTGAGAAGGCGGTACCGATCATAGAAAGGTTTCATCAGAGTCCGCTCCTGCCTGGTACTCTGGAGAGGAACAGACAGAAAGAGACACAAAAAGAAAGCACTTTGTTTTAGGTGGGGAATATATATACAGATAGTAGGAAAGAAAACCAATGATACAACTCAAGTGTAGGCATCAAGTAAAACAAAAGAGATAAACACATAAGTGAGTCATCCAGGCTGTTCTTACCGGTCGTCCATGTAGACTTTCAAAGTAGAGCAAACACTTCTGCAGGCTGGTCTTCTCCATATTCATCTGGAAATTGGACATCTCCTGCACATACAGAGAGTCAAAACATGTTGTTTATTGAGGGTCAGTAAGACACAGATTCTCCCTCCGTGCCCAGGGAACCAGACCACTAAACCTATATTACAATATTTCTGTGTGTGTGTGTGTGTGTGTGTGTGTGTGTGTGTGTGTGTGTGTGTGTGTGTGTGTGTGTGTTATAAGCATTTCTGCAATACCAACCTTAATGCTGTCAGGCAGGCCTAGCTCTCGTCGTCTTTCCTTCAGCCTGTTGGTTATAATGTTGACAGTTTCTTCCACATTTGGCTTGGTGTTGCTGTTGTTGTTAAGCTGCTGCAGCTCAGTCCCTGTTAGTGCTACCTCCCTCTGGTCTGTGTTGGTCCTGCATGTTTCAACTGATAGGTTGAAGCCTCCCTGCCCTCTTTGCCCACCTTCCTCTGATTGTCTCAGTTTCAGCTCTAAAAGAAGAAAAATATGTTGACATGGAAACAGGGGTCATGTGAAAATGTGGACACTGGTTCTCTGGTAAACATATTGGTATTGTTACAATAAGTCAGTGGTGGAAATTAAGTAAATAAGTAAGTGATAGTACTTGGCTTGTGACCCCTGACAAAAGAAAAGCAGTAGCAGTGTCTAGTTGGGCCCCTTGTCACATTTAGAGGTTCAAGTGAGTCTGAGACATTCACTAAAGAGGATATGACTATATATAGACTATATATTTATAAAGTAGTTAAAACTAGCTCCACTGCTACAACATGAAAGGGTACTTATTTGTTGATGAATCATTATTAACAATCAAATAATGTCATATATTAGTCAGCCTTTAACTACATTTAGGAAGGAGCTGTAAGATCTGAATACTTCTTCCACCACTCCAATCATTCATTCCTGTGTTTAAGTGAGTGTTTATGTTTATGGAACTGACCTTTAAGCTGCTTGCGACTCTTGATGAGCTCCTTCATCAGTCTGGCTACCTCTGGATGAGCTGTTTTGTCGTTGTGGGCTGGCTGTAAAAAAAAAAATAAAAAACTCAATCAGGGGCCCATCTCTGCTCCAGGTCTGGGTGGGATATAATATTTAACATTATTATTTTGTTCTTTAGCAGCCCTATAAACCAGTTGACTACAGATACATAGTGTAACAAAATGTAATTTTTCCAATGTACCAGTAGAGGGAGTGATTCACTGTAGCATGATGTTTGTGTTAAGCATCCAACACATCATTTTAGAACTCAAACATAACTAATTCACACACAGCCAGGCATGCACACACACAACAATCCCTCCCACGCCTCTGTAAGAGTTGGTTATGGGCTATGAAAAAGGCAACACTGAGTGTCACACTCTGAGGCGATAACTTTCAGTCCAATCATGACTCAAGAGAACCGAGCTGACCAAGTAGCTCTGATTTCCTACCTCACCTTATAGTGTTTCTCCTGCTCAAAACACTCCTCAAAACGCCTGATCCTCTTCCGCAGGGTGTGAATGTGTCTGTTGAGCATCGAGATGGACAGAGAGCCATCGTCTGGCTCTGTATGGACACTGCTGCGAGCCCTGGAGACAGAGAAGTGCACGTCTATCTACTTCAATTCTTGACATTCTGCATATAGTTCCATGATTTAAGGACTCATAACGTGCATCACCTGACATGGTAGAAATCCTCATTTAAGGCCCAGCAGTACGGCAAAAACAATACATTAAATAATATTCCATCATTTCTATGAGCCACTATTCCTAAATAAAGAGTGAAGTAAAGTGAGGATGTCTTACACGCGTATGTGCTGTGAGCACGGTGGAGAAGGGGCTGCATCAGGGTCTAGGTTGTAGCGTAGGCTGTGACTGAGGTTGGGACAGCGCGGCGAGGGAACAGGGCAGTCACTTGTTGTAAAATGGGAGAGGAGTGGGCTGGTGTGAGGGGCCGGTGGACTCGGCAGGGTGTCATTTTCTGAAATCCCCTCAGAAAGAACGGCAGAGGAGAGGACCGGACTGGACTCTGATGAATGAGGGGATGGGGTGTGTACTGTAAGACAGAGAGGAAGGACAAAATATTAACATAAATCTATAAGAATTATGACTATTTCATTTGAAAGAATGTTAGAATGTAAACGTTATTTATATCTGACTTAATAGAGGAGGACAGATGGGACCAAATGAGAGATATAATAGAGGGAGAAAACAAGGAGTAAGGAAGGGAGAGAAAGATAGGGAGACAAAAAGGAGTGAAAGAAGGACAAATGGCACTTTCTTACTCAAGTTACTCATATGTAACATCTTTCCTGAAAGAAACTGAATTTGATTTGTCTGTGATAAACACAGTACATATAGATAGTTTGAGTATTTAGCAGTTATAATCTCTATGGTTAAAAAACACTGGTTTCGTGCAATGTTAAGCAAGAACAAGACATGTAAATACATGGGAAAACATGATCAAATCTAAATGATTGTCTAGATATCATAAATATTACATTATATTGACTATATGTACCAATTCATCACATCACAGTCGGCTGTGCAGTGACACTACAGTAACAGCATCGTACCTTTGTTCGCTGTATTTAAGCCAAGACACACCCAGCTGTGGGAAATCATGAAGCTCATAGCTCGCTGTCAGGATTTATTGATGTTTATTTAACATGCACCAAAAGAATTACAGCATCTAGGAAGATCCTCCGAAACAAAACAGATGATGAATTAGATACTATAAATAATGGCACTAATATGGTATATATGAAGTATGGCTATTGACTGACTGGCATTCCCAATGAGACTGCCCAAGCTGCAAGTACTGTACTGTAAGGTACTTCGGAATATATATTTCCCTACATATATATATGACAAAAGTAGTAATAATGGGCAATGGGCTTTTACAACTTCTACATGATTTTGCCCCAAATAAATATTTAACATGGGAAGTTTGGAAACTTAAATATTAATTTAAGTATATCAGCACTTCATTGTCATTGTCTTACCAGGCTGTGATGAGTCGACTGTCTGCTGATCCTGACCTGGTGGGGATGGTGGTGGGTGGAGGAGCAGTTTGTGGGTCAAATACAGGCTCTGCTCTTCAGTAGAAAGAGGCTGTTGTTGGGCAGGTAGGTTGTCTGGACCTTGGGGGTCTACCGGTGGCGGCAAGGTTCCCAAGTCAGCCTCCAGGGCTTGTAGCTTGAGGGAAGGGCTCTGGAAACAGAAGCAGAACATGGCTTCAGGGATGCAGACGTGCAGGCAAAGGAGAAGTCTGAAAGATGCGTCGTAGTTGGTGTGGAGGGAGTCTTCAGCGTTTCACATGCTGCTCAGGAATCTTGAGAAGTCTTGTAAAACCATTTTAGTCTCTCCTGTGAAAAGAAATATTCTGGCGCTGAAGCGTGGTTGGGCAGAGAGTTGCAGGGTGAGGTGAGATGAGTGGTTGCCTCGTCCTCCTGAGAAAGGAATGAGTCAAAAGGCAGAATACAGCTCTATGAGAAGGCTGCTTTCGGGGGTGGTTGAAGTACGAGGAACTTCTCAAAAAACAATAGAAAATCTTTGATCCTCCAAGGCTCCCAGTGAGCTACAAAAGCAGTGGTCATAACAAGCAGCCCATGTGAGGTGGTACGTGTTTTTCCTCAGCTGTAGCTCCCCTCAGGTCTCTGTGTGACTAGAAACTAGTCAGCAAATCAGGCATTCAACCAGCTAGACAAGAATCCCGCTGACTTTTGTCAATCAGTGAGTCAGATTCCTGACATGCATCAGCATCCAGCGTGGGATCCCTGATGAGCAACACACTGTAATTCCATTAGCAGTATCGCTGTGATTCCCAGATCACCTGATCTGCTTGTTTGT